TTCTTGTGGTAGCCCGTTCTCGCACGAGTGAAGCCCGTTCTCGCACGAGTGAAGCCCGTTCTCGCACGAGTGAAGCCCGTTCTCGCACGAGTGAAGCCCGTTCTCGCACGAGTGAAGCCCGTTCTCGCACGAGTGAAGCCCGTTCTCGCACGAGTGAAGCCCGTTCTCGCACGAGTGAAGCCCGTTCTCGCACGAGTGATAAACCTTCATGATTACAATACCTGGAGAGGGTTTCGGGGGTCAACGCCCCCGCGGTCCGGTCTGTGACCAGACCTCGCGGTGGATCAGGGCCTGATCAACCAAGCTGTTACTGCTGGCCGCATGCAAACCGACGTAATTTTGGTGTTTTATCGTACGTGTGCGTGCCGTAGAAGTTCTCTGTACATTCTCCAGGTCAGCAATTTCGCCTGCCTTGAAGGGGGCCTCAGCGTACAGCAATATTCCACCATAGAGAGAACAAGTGATTTGAAGAGAATTATCATGGGCTTGGCATCCCTATTTCTGAAGGGTCTCATTATCCATCCTATCATTTTTCTAGATGTGGTAGATACACTTGTGATCTTTGAAAGTGAGATCCTCTGACATTAACACTCCCAAGTCCTTCACATTATATTCGCTCTATTGTGTGGTTGGAATTTGTTTTATACTCCGATACAATTTTAATTTCATCGAGTCTTCCATATCGGAGTAATTGAACATTCTGTTCACTGAACTTCATATTAAATTATTGTAAACTTATCTAAAATATATTTAGTTGGATTACCCTAAATTAAATTGCGCTTGCTATAATAAGGTTATGTATGTTTTCTAAGGTTCTTTAGGTACAAAATTATTAATTTTTACATTAACATAAATGAAAAAATGTATCTTTAAACGTATAAGAGAAAACTTTAGAAAGGACTTAATTTTAAATGAGTTCTTGCTAAGTGACCTATTCCACACGACATACTATATATAGTGCAGCCAGCAGGATTCAAACCCAGAAGCTCTCCACAAGTATAGTTCCCACACTGACGCCTTATTACTCATCTACAGATGCCCGATAACGTTAGGCAACCTGGATGACTGAAAGCCATGTTTCTCCTAACGCTGGGCACACCAGCCTCAAACATAAGTAAGTTTGTTCAGGTATACACAAATACAGTTACATAGAATTATCATACATAGCAGCATATGTGTAGAGAACCTAGGATAACCCAAAAAAGTCAGACAGTGAATTATTTCCATTGGGGTTCAGCTTTTTCATTCTCTAAGTTCTGGCCTCACGAGCGATACTATACTCAACGCCCCTCGCTTGTTTCGAAATGCTAGGGTGTTCCCGGTGTTAGGAGAAACATGGATCACTGTCAGTACTAGAGGTACTGCCTCATATATAAACAGAGGAATGGATAGGGATGCCGTGGTCCTGGCATCTAGGTCCAGTGCAGTACCACTGATCTACAAGGTTTGCAACAGGAAAATTTCACACACAACATTTCTGTGACTTGGTAATAAATACCGAAAAATTGGTTTAGAGAGACAGCCGAACACTAGCAACCCTACTTTCTCTTCCCACAGCCCCAAAAGCCTTCATGTTACATCTATTTTCAAACCCCCTTAAAGCCATATAGTCTATATACTCAAGAGAAGACGTAATAAACGACTGCAAATGAATATAGTGTATACAGGAATTAATGGGGAATCGAACAGTGGTTCACAGAAGTACTCTGAAATATTTCCGTTGAAAGCCTCGTAGCTCAGTGGTACAGCGCTGGACCTACATGTCAACACCACGGTTAGAGTCCGTATCCATTGTTTATTTATTGACAGTCGTTCATAACTACCATAAAATGTAGACAGCCAACACCGTGTTGCACCTGTCTTAGTCATCAAACTATCATTATTATGCCTTTGTGTAATCATCATGATGAGTGGCACCACTCTTAACTCCTCTCCGGGAGATTTCAATCCTCAGGTACTAGCGACAAAGTTCTGGTAGCCTTAAGAGTGTCTGGTAGTGATTACCAGGAAGGGAGAGAAGGAAAGGAAAATAAGGATGGGCATGCAGGAGATAAACGAAAATTGTTGACATCCGCCAGTTGTGTACAAGGCCTCTTCTGTATGTAAAGTAAAAGGACACAAGTGCAACTAATGTGACATTTTATTGTCGCCACAATAAAATGTCACATTAGTTGCACTTGTGTCCTTTTACTTTACATATTGTCGGTAATTCTACCATCTTTATTACAAGGCCTCTTCTGCTCTGAGCAAGGGAGGAGGGGAAGACAATAGTTAACATCCCAAGGAAAGTTCAACGGAAAACGGGTCATACATTAAATGAATGGAAGTCATCATTAGCAGGGATTATGGGTGTCATATAAGGTGGGGTAGGAGGGACGTGGCTTCCGTTAAGAGGAATGCATCTCCTGTCTCTTGTAAAAAGACTGACGACGTAAAATAAGATCCCTTGAAGAGTGGCCATTCTTCAGAGAAAGCGGTTAACTAAATTTATAGTTTTTATATATAAATTTCTTTTGCACCAAAACTAGCCTAGCAACCTAACTTTTTTTTTAATATTAACGTAGTATTAACATTTTTTTAAGGGTCATACAAAGCATGGGGAATGGGAGGTAATGAAAATGATCCTGTGAAGGCAAAAGCAGCTCCAATCTTCGTATAAAGAACAATTTACATAATATAAAACACCTCAAGTGACCTAACGTATCATAAGAATTTGTATAACATTAGGGTAATAGTTACCAACCACTATTTGGTGGAATTCGGTCATTATTTTGCACTTTTCAATACAACCTATGTACAGCACGGAGTAAGTAACCAGTTGTTATACAAATTGTTATTTTGGAAGATATAAGGACAATGAATACATGCATTTAGGTCTTGCGCCTGGCCCAACGTTAACAAAAACGGGTGGCGTTGTCAGGTTAGGTTACGCATTCCAGATCCTAACCTAACCTTAACTATACGAATCCTAGCTTAACTAAAGGAAACCTAACCTTACCTAACCGATTTTCGTTAGTCTTCCTAACGAAAACATATACAGGAAATACTTATTCTGTGATGTACACAGGTTGTACATTATGTAATGAAAAATGTAAAGGAGAGTTTCACCAGTTGTCGGCCACCGCAGCCAGCATTTGATGCTCAGCTTGGAGAGGACGGAAATAAATCTTCAGGTAACCCTTAGTAATTTAATCGCTTACAGTTTTATGTCTTTTGTGGAAAATACTGTATATATTTTCCAGAAATTCAGTATTTATATGTAAATAGATGGCCATACTGTATTTAATAATATTTATGTCATAGAAAACGGAAAGCCTGCGTCGGTGCAGACGAGACTCGCCATCTTGGTTTTGAATTTTGTACAAACGTTGGTGTAATGGGAAGAATTTTTCGTGCTCTAGAGGTTAAAATTGTGTTGACACCTCTCAAATAGGAGGCGAAATTGGTGGATGTGCATTCCTGCAAAACTTGAGATATCAGACGACTGGATAAGACAGCTCCAGGAACCTTAGATAAGCTCTCTAGATTTGTGTGTAATTCTGGCCAGCATTATTTTCATAGATTTAGTTAGTGAGGTTTTCTGAGTATGATACACATTAATCTCCAGTCAAATTGGTGAGTGATATTAAGATATATTTTCCTTCTGTTATGTATATGTGAATTTATATATAATTTTTTAATATACAGTCCACAAATTTATATATTTCCCAGTATTCCTGGTGTATGTATATTTCATTTAATTAATAGGTCCAGAGCAACTTGTGGTTATGACAGTGGTAGGTATCGAAAGGGGACATTTTTTGCGACCTAGTTGTCCCAAATTCCTACTTGTCTATGTAACATTGATAAATAAAAATTATCTTTATCATTTACTGTTATGTACATAATTAGTTACATTCAGATAAATGCAATTTTCCACATCTTTAAATCAACTGTAGACAGTTACTTGGGTCACGAAGACCTTAACATCTGTGATAGGAATTAAACTTTGCTATTTACATGACGCACTTTATGGCCAAAACATGTACACAAAGCTTAGTTGACAAAGATCATTTTGACAAGCATGCAAAGCTTTTGTGATTTTTTACCATAACCGCAAATATCATTAGGAATATTACAAAGAATTGAACCTGGTTTCTTTCTTGGATCGAAGAGGATTACATTCTATATCCCTAGGTACTCTACAACCCCTAAGGGTTTAGGGCTTCCAGAAACATGTAATAATAATAGTACTACATCCAGTTCGGCTGACCATAGATACATTAGGTGGGACTAAGCTATATCATGTAAATTCTGTGAAGGTTAGGTCAGAATGCTAAGTTCATTTGGGTGCAAAATACCAAAAAAAAAAAAAAAAAGTCAATTTTCGTGCAGCGTCTTTCAACCTATATTTAAAAAAAATATCGAAATAATTTAATTTTTAAGAAAAGTTGGCTTGTCTGACTTGTATACACCTCAGTGTATATCTAATTATTAAATTCATGAGGAAGCACTAAACTCGTAAGTCGTACAGCGTCTAAGAAAAAGAGAGGCAATCAGGTTTCATCCTAGGGTAGCTTAATTCCTTGGATCCAGAGCCCTTACCCCATGAATGGTTTGTCTATACCCTTGTGCACATGCAGGTCTCATGTAACCATTACATTAAATATCCACACATTTTCTTATCTCACTAAATGGTTATAACTACGACCAAAATTGTTTAGGGGTGGACCAGTAAGCCAGCGGAAGGCCTCGGTCAGATGACTGAAAGCTCCAACGGCGGGTCATCATATGACACCCGCGTCCGGAAACACTTGTCCTCTTTCCTGACGAACCTTACCTAAATATTTACACGAGGAAAATGATAAATATAACGGCGATGATATGAATTGTGTATGAAAATCTATGTTTAGTACACTATATGAAAATATAAAACAAGATGTTTCTAAAGTTGATGAATATAATGTAAACAAATGAGGAAATGTGACAAGTGTGACAGGTGTAAAACACTTCGAACTCACCTGTGATGGCGAGATGTAAATTTCACGTTGCTTTGCTCTGGTGTCCTCATGATCACTTTATTCTTATAATAGCTTTTGTTAGTTTTAACGAATTTGTCTTTATCACTTCTGTTGCTCTTAGTTTGTGCCTTTTTCGTTGTGTGTGTTGTTACTAGAAATGTGAGCACTCTTAGGATTACGCCTAGCGTCATCTACAAAGTGATAATATTTTGAGTTGGATTTATTGGTTATCTTGCTGGGGTCCTTCACTTCACCAGACCCTGCTGGAGGCAAGTGAAGGAACTCCTTGGAAATGTTAGCTTGCAGGGACGCCGAAAAGGGAAGGTTAAAAGACAAAGCAGCCATCATCACAAATAAGCACACAAGAGCCAAGGTTGTCAATTTTCGGACAGATTTCACATAGGTTCGTGTAACTGCCATTATTGGCAGGAAGGTAAGATGGTTCTTTTCTTTTTTTCGTCAGGATAAATATCTACTGAAGAGTCTGTCATATGATGAGGTCATCGACTAAGCAGTCGCTTGTGCACTTGTGCTAAGAATCACCAAACTTAAAAAGATTCCTCAGGTTGTGTAGTGTCCTACTACTTGAAAGGTAGATAAAATGTATTATGACTTCGTCACAGGACTACTTTCATAGTGAAGTATCGCTCATTCACCCTATTATCTATATCATGAAAATACCCATGAATATATATCGTCGTCCAATGCCTGCTAGCCATCTTTTATTAACTTAAGTTTAAAACCTTTAGATAAAATACCAAGAAAAAGTTGCTCGTGTTAACTCAATATAACAGTAAATCCTGATTACAATATACAATAAAATCAAATTATCGACGTGTAAAGTAGATAAATTTGAGCAGGTTTAGGTACACTGGAACATTTTTCAGGTGTATGTGGCATGCTGTTGATCGCCTAATATTAAATGAAGCATTTTGTACGGTAAGCTAGCTATTTGTGTTTTTTTCCAGTCACTGTATTGTGCCTTTTTACTCTTTTCAGTGCATGAAGATAATCAGAGGGTCAGGGTTGCGGGAATGTTGATTTCGGTTTATAAGACGAGGGTGCTTGCTAAACATGATAGTCTATTCAGAGCGTTGCTAATGTATTTTCCAAGTGTAACGTGTGTTTGGAGAGAAGTGAATTCTTGTCTCTAGGACGACGATGCTTGCATAATGGGATCCATCCTTTCAGAAGGGTGACTTCAAACTTCGTCAAAATGTACCTGCAATTATAAATATTTGTTAGTATTAACATATAAGAACCGAGCTACTGGTACACCTTTGTCACATGGTGCTAACAATATAGTAGCAAAACCTAGAAGAAAAAAAGGCCATTGTGTGATGACAGTAAGGTTGATGGATTTCTACTGCAGCGGCAATGGTTAATTAGTTACCCACAAACTCGCCCAAAACCGCTTAGTTTTGTGGGCACATGTTGCTGGTATCGTCATATAGTTAACTATATATAGGTGTAAACCGAGTATATGATCATAGCAGCCTTACCTGAAAAATCATGCATATAAAGCAGCAATTACCTGGTTTATTCTCTGTACCAGATGTTACTCGGAAATATAATCATGGATGAACGGCCGTACGTGCTGTGTGATGCGCCTAAGAAACTAGTTTTTCACCAGCGCACTCCAGCGGCTGTCGACCACCGAAGGAACCATAGTCATAAGAGGGTCAACAACCTGCCACGTAGAAGACACCACTAACCACGATTGTCCTCAATCCATGGCCCATCGCTCTATCCTCACAGTACACCGTTCGCTAAACCATAACCTACGTCAATCTTTCTGAACGCTCGAACTTTTTTAGGCCAATATGCGTTATTTTTAGGAGTTACGTTACGGATATATATATATATATAAATATATATATATAATATATATTATATATATACAAATACATATATATATATATAATATTATATAGTAAATATATATATATATATTATTAATATATTAATTATATCATATAAAATACTATATATATTATAATATATATATATTATATATCTAAATTATATATATATATATTATATATATAATTATATAATAAAGTATAACTATCATATAATATTATATATATTATACATATAATTTCCTTAATAAACAAATGATATAATATAACTTATATATATATTATAATATATATCATAGTAATATATATATATATATATATATCTATTTTATATAATATAGATATATAATATATAATAATATAGTATTATCTATATATAAAAGTATTATATATATATATATATATATAAATATATATAAATCATAATATATTATAATAACATAATTAAATATATATATATTATATATAATATAATATGATATATATATATCAATATATTATAATATATATATATACTTATTATATATATCATATAAATAAATATAATTATATATAATATATAATACATTATATAATATATTATATATCACAATATATAAAATATAAAATATATACTAAATATATATATTATATAAATAGTATATATTATATAATATATATCTATATATATATCCAATATTATATATATATATATACTATAAACTTATATATATATATATCGTATATAAATTATCTTAAAAAAATAAATATATATATAATATATATATAAAATATCTAATCACAAAATCAAAAATAATAAATAAATATAATCTATATCTAATATCAATATAAACCATCTATTAAAAAAAATATATCTAAGTGCGTAATCTATAAATATACAAATAAATATATATATTCTATAAACAATATATATAAATATCAAACAAACTATCAAAATCACTAAAATAAAAAATAATACAAAAATAAAATTATATCAAATTATACAACATTCTAAATAACAAAATACATATAATAAATAAAAAAAGTAATATAAAAAATAACAAAACAATAACAAACCACACACACACACCGGACTCCACACCCACAACACACACACACACACACACAACTACACTCACACAACAGCACACAACCACCACCACACCCACACACACAACACACACTACGGCGACACCCAACACACACACACACACAACACTCACACACACACACAAACACACTCACACCACGACAACACACACCACACAACACACACATCTACACACAACTACACACACACATTACACACAACACACTACCACAAACACCACACACACAACACACACAACACACACACCACACACAACAACACACACACTCAACACACACACACACACACACAACACACACACACGACGACACACCCACAACACACAACACACACACACTAACTCACGTACACAACCTACACCACACTCAACACAGCCACACTCACACACAGCGACGAACACACAACACACAGCACACAACACCACACACACACACACAACCACACCACATCTAACAACACAACACACGACACACACACACACACGCCACACACAACACACACACAAAACACACGCAACACACACACACACACACACTACGACACAACACACACACTACAACAACACACACTGACACACACACCCACAACACACACACACACACGACTCACGACACACACACATCACCAACACTCACACACCAACCACACCACCAACACACGACCCACACACACACGACTACAACGACACAACACAAACACACACACACACACACACACACCACACACCACACCAACACACACCACTACACACACACGACACACCCAACATACACACGTGACACACACACACCTACACACACCCACCACACCATACAACACAACACCACCACACACACACACACAACCCACACCCACACACACCATCAACACACACACACACACACACACACACACACCCAACAACACAAACAACCACACCCCAAACAATCAACCACACACACACGACAACACACACCACACAACCACAACACACACCACACTAAACAATACTCAAGCACACGACACACACACCACACACACACGAGCACAAAACACACATACACACAACACTAACCGATATGCACTAACCACACACCAACCACTACACACAGCAGAAGACACAACACCCCCCACACACCACACACCCAACCATACCACGAAACGACGAACACAACACCAACACACACACGACTGACCAACACGGAACAACACACTACACACCACGACAGAACCTACAGACACTAAACACACCACACCACACACCCAACACACACACAACACGACTCACACGTATAGCCCACACTCCCGCCTCCTACAACCCCCCCACCGCTCCGCCGGACACCCATAACAGGCCAACGCACACCGACTAGCCCCCCCCCCCCCCCTGCTACCAACAGAAGTTTCAGCACACCCATACCACGACCCACACGATCGGCCAACAGCACCACGACGATCCCCCGCAAGCCACCATCACCCGCCCAACAACCCCAGCAGCACCACCCGGTCCGCCACGCCCCGGACCCTACCCCCACACACAACACAGCAGCACCGAGACACACGGCACTACAACCCAGACAACACCTACACACGACGAAGCGGGACCACCACATCACGGACACACACCCAACGCTCCTGCAGCCACACCGCACCATAGACACCGAAACTAACACTCGTCACACAGCACGACCACACGCAGTCCCCACCAACCCCTTGCACACACCCCCACACCCACACAGACGAAGCGGTCCACCACACGACACTCAAGGCCGACAACAACACGACACCAACACGAACACAACACTACACCACAAGCGAACACGCACCACACGGGAGCACACACACACCAATAGACAGCACACGCACACGACACGATACAGCGACACACACACAAACACCACACGACACGACCACCAGCAACACACACACCCGAACCAAACCGACCACACACCCCAATGCCACCCCAACCCCGCACACCACACACGTACAACACACACACCGACGGAGACACACGTAACAAAGCACCACACACAACACACACCACACAACTCGCACGCAGCCAACACACAACAACCACAGTCACACTCGACAACACACACGCTGACTACAGCACAACACACACACAACACACACGGCACACGATCACACCACACACAACCACACCCCACTACAACACAGCGGAGACACACACACACACGACCAAGACCGGCGACGAACCACACACACAACCCACACACATGTAGCAAAAATCCGACCGGCGCATACGGCAGCACAACTTTAACACCACACACACCACAAAGCGACACGACAGCACACACAGGCGAATCACACTCGAACACCACAACGACAACCAGCACACACACCAGTCTAGGCGACGACGCCTACACCCCAACTGGAAACTGGACAGCCCCGACAACTCACCAAACAGCCCCCTACAACTACAAGCACCCGCCCCACAACAACACATTACACAAACACACAACACTACACACTACACCATCACACGTCACCCAACCAATCCGGATCATCCAACTACCGACCACGTCTAAGTACACACACACACAACAACACCCACACACACCCACACACACAACACACACACACACACAACACACAGCACGAACCACCACAACACCACACACAACACAACACACAACACAACTAACCACAATCCTACACACCAACACCCACACACACACACTACACCCACGACACCCAACACAACACACACACACACAGCACACACACAACAACACACGACAACACACACACCACAACACACACACAACACACACCCACACGACACACACAACAACGACACACCCCACACACACACACAACACACACACAACACACACACACCCACAACACACACACGACACACACAACACCACACACACACCACCAACACACACACACACACACAACACATCTCACACAACACACACACACACACACCACCGAACAGCCCACCACCACACGAACCACACACAACACACACACGACACACACACAACATCACACACTTACACTCAACACACACACACCACAACACAACACACACACACACAAACAACACACACACACGACACAAATCAACAACACGACAGCACTACACACTACACACACACCCACTGACATACAACACCACCCTACAACACACACACGCACACACACACAACACAACACCAACACACACACACACAACCCACCACACACAACACACACACACACCACACAACAACCAACACACACACCCAACACACACAACACCACAACCACACACACACACAC